CTTGCGAATTCGCGTATCGTATCCTACGGAGATGGCCCCATTCTCGACCAGCAGGGTCTACGAGGAAGGTGACGACGTCACCTTCAAACTTGCGGTGTCCTACTGCCTGAAGTGGGCTTGGGAGCATCACATGAAGCTCAAGAATCTAGCTGTGTGCCCATTTACTTTTGCGCATGGGCCGATCGTTTGATCGCACATCTTTTAGTCACAGAGTCTCTGGGGCACCGCCTGCGTCTGACATTTAGGAGGCTCTCGGGACGAGCGCTTCACTGTAGGGGTCAATGTGCAGTGAGGCTACCTGCTAGTGCAAGCAGTGCATGCGTACGCGTGAACTATCCAACATAACAAACGATAATATCAACACACATGTTCGCACTACGATCATGCGCACGTGTACGTGTGGTAGGGTGGGTACTCTACGTTACTACGTCGGGACCCGCACTGCTGTTCTCCTCAGGTTGGTAGTGTCCCCGAGCTTAGGTTTTTGTTTCTCGTAATTGAGCGTTTGATGTTGAGTGGCAGCACCTGCCGCAACTGATATCATGCAAGATGGCTGCTAGCGAGTCGCGGTTATGTACACCGCGTGCCGTGAGACACGTTCGATTGGTGATAATCGTTCTGCCCGTGCTGGTGGAAAATGTCGAGGAGTTACGTTGATAACACTTGAGCCAAGAGGGTCATACCGCTGTGATGTTAGAACGCTGCAAGGCGTGCGAGGCCAGCCAAGACTCCTGATCCTCCACCTCCTCATTCCTCTCCTCCCCACGCCGCTGCCGTCCTAGCTACGAGGCTTCGCCCAATCCGCCACCTCGCTACGTCTTCTGAGGAGCTAGGGTCATATGTATGTTGCGTCTCGCCTATTCCGCTGCCTACCCAGACGAACGAAGATCAACAACGTCAATTTGAACACTTCAAGGGGAGCGCAAAATCACCCAACAAACAACCGAACTATCAAGTCTGAACAACAATACGGAGAGGGAGAAATACAGACACTAACGAAATACAAAGAGACTGTCGCACGCACGAGTGTACGCAAGCAGAACGGCGCACGCAGACACCAACCTGTGCCCGTACATGCACGCACCCGCATGACCAAACACGTGAAATCATTACGGAGTGAAACGGCCTGCGGCCTGCAGTGTAACATAACCTGGGAAACTAACCCCACAAACCAAGAACGGTCTGAGCGTGCGTTGGGGATCACAAGCACGGACGGACCATCGCGACGACGATCATGCCAACGACGATGGTGGTGGTCGTAGCGATGATGATGCGATGGTGGCGGCGGCGTTCCAATCAGATTTGTTGAATTCATGGTAGCACGGAAGGCGATCGCGATGGTGGCGGTGTTCACGGGACGCATCGCCATAAGAGGGATGACTTTCGCTGGACACATTGAGCCTCTAGGGCGCTTCTAGGAGCCACGGAGATGTTGCGAGTGTTTGAGGCGGGTCAGGGCCGTGCGCAACTCTGAATCGTGCAGTGCAGCGCCTCTGCACCGACTTGGGCGCGTGACACCCACTTCGGCGCCCGAAATTCCGACTCGGGGCACGCCAAGTTTAGTAGGCTCGCGCGTCGTCAAGAGTCCGTTGCGTTGTTGACCTTGGAGATGGCGTCACCTGGATGTCCGAACCAGTCGTGGTTCGGCACCCACGTGGCGCGTGCTCGGGGATCAACAGTGCAATCGTCACGAGACGATTGTGAACCTACCACGCTGTGTACGCCACGTCGATGGTGGGGTGTCGAACGCTTTCCTGAGGGGTCCAAGGCGTTGTATTAGTGATATATTAGGCTGCCCATGGTTGAGCGCAAACCCCATCTACCCCGACCCCATATCAGTTCCCCTTACTTCTGGGCCCTCTGAAAAGGCCCGACCCTTCTCACTTGGGGATGGCGGCGGGGCTTCTCAGAAGCCCTCGCGCCTCCTGTGAAGGCGTCTCTGTCTTTGGGAGACGACCCAACGAACAGAAAAACACAACACACATCAACGTTCGACGCTTCGCGCTGATTTCTTGCATCGGGAATGGGACCCCCCAGCGGAGCCGCTGGCGCCGCCCCTGGCGCGCTCCGCGCGCCAGGGAGGGGGGTACAACGCCGATCCACGAAATCCGCGTGGACCTCCGAGACTTTGTGCTTATGTTGTTTTTTGTTGTCTCACCAAGGTACGGATACAGCTACCCTTCTTTTGCTTTTGCCCCGTTGGGCCTCTTGGGAGGCTTTCGTTGCCACTGCTGGATTCGCTTCGAAATTCGAGTCTTAGTGCACCCCGGGAGAGATCCGACGAGTAGCGGTATCATTGTTTTGTGTCCCCAGTAGCGGACACCCTGACGCTGAAGAAATTAAGAACGGGATCGATTCCACGGGGATTCGCGGCAAGTTGCTGTCGTAAGGTCGTCGCAAGCGCGCTCCTCGTCACGCGTTGTGCCGCGCTGGCGGCCCGCGTAAATCTCCGCGTAAGGTCGCCATGCCATTTCGCGTCAGACCCCGTCGTCTTCTTGACCCACTCAGCGGCGGGTGAACGTGGTGGAAGCAGCGGCATGGGGTAGGAGGATCCATGGATTCGGGTTTTGGACGTTCCTGGTGGCGCCCCTCAGGACTCCAGAGGCCTCCACAGGCGCTCGCTGACCTCCATGATGCTCTCTGGCCCCGCCACCTGCGCGGCATCAGGCTTTCCATACTTCTGGGCCTCCGCAGGCTCGTATCGGGCATTGGGACCGTCAAACAACGACTCGGGACGAGAAGCTGGCCCCCGGGGAGGTGTCGAGAGGCCCTGGAGTCAATCCGGGAAAGGGGGGCCTGGGACAGCACAGCGAGCAGCCGGGGATGGCATGGATGCCAGTCGAATCGGAGAGGAAGGGAGGACATAGGGAGGGAGGAAGTCGAACGATGGAGAGAGGAAGGCTGGGGGAGGGAGCGGGGGAGAGGGAGGTAGAGACGGCGCGCTCGGCTGAGCAGCCGCCACTGAGCGTTGGTGCCCGTGCTCGCCGGCCTAGCGGCGCAGACCGTGGCGGGGGTGGGGGCGGCGAAGACGCAGGTTGAGGCACCACGGGGCGAGCTGAGGCCGACGGTGTGGCGGGAAGACTTGATGTGCATGCGTCTACGGGGCCCCAAAAAATACACCACAACCACGCCCCTAACCCCCATACCTCTCCCAGGGAGAGGGGGGGGGGAGGGCAGAGGAGGGAGGGGGAATGAAGGTGGTGGTGGTGCATATTCTTGGGGCCCGCCGTGGCTGAGGGGGGAGAACGAGGGAGGCAGCGCCCTCGCGCCCTCGGCAGCCTCGCGCTCGTGCGGGCCCCAGGAATATACATATATATATAAACAGACGTACATACATACAGACATACATATATATACACACCACCACCACCACCACCACCACCACCAACAGCAGCAGCAGCAGCAGCAACAACAACAACAACAACAACAACAACAACAACAACAACAACACCTCCATTCTCCCTCCCTCCTCCGCCCTCCTCTTTCCCTCCTCTTTCCTTCGAGAGGAGGGGGAAGGGGAGGTGATGGTGGCGTATATTCTCGGGCCCCGTAGCTCGGGCTTCTGCCGCGGGCGCTGGTGGCTGCAGCGTCGCTCTCGGCTGCGCACGATGCGCACGCCCAGTCTGCAGCCGCATGGTCGGCCCGACGTGGAGGAGGAGGAGGAGGAGGAGGAGGAGGAGGAGGAGGAGGAGGAGGAGGAGGGGGACCTATTCGCCCTCAGCTCTGGCAAGCCCGATCTGCTTCGATTGCGATGCAGTGGGGGCCCATGCCAAGAAACATCCTGCTTGCCTCCAGGGCGCCGGGGGGTCGCACCCACCCCCCCAGGAGGAGGCTGCGCCGCAGCGGTGCTGCACGTAGCAGGCGTGGCGGTTCGCGAGGGGGGTCCAGCGTTGACGGCAGCCTGCCAGGAGCAAGCACGCGGCTGGGGCGTGGCACCGAGGCACTGCGACCAGCGAGGTGTTCAAGCTCCCCGCGGCCGCGGCCCCTCCTCTGCAGAGCTGCGTGAGGACTTGGAGCCGCATGGGCAAACGTGCATGCAGCGGCGCCCCCTGGGTGAACTCGCAGTGGGCGCTCACCACACGGAGGCGTCTGGGCGTCTGGCAGCACGCCGCAGGCAGTCCTGAACTGTGCACTGCAGAACATGGGAGAGCATGATCCGTGCGGCCAGCCACTCGACTCTCACTCTCATTATCCCACTGTCTGCCGCGGGGGCTCTGGCCAACTTGAACTGCCATACGGCTGCTTCGGCGGTGTGAGCGGAGCATCTACGTGGAATGGGGGCTGTGGGTTGTGGTCGAGCTCGGGGCGGCCATTGCGGAGATCTACGCTGGACGACAAGGGTACCATCCGCAAGTGACTCATGGTCCTGCTCGTGTGGTCGTGGCTGGGTGGGAGCCGGCGCTGCCTGCTCGACGTCACCACGTCCGCCCTCCCCTCGTCGCCGGGGAGGTGGGCAGGCTGCTCTCCTGCGGCGGCCGGTGTCGCGGCGCGTGCCTGCGCACGCTTCCACGTGCGGCATCGCGGAGCCACGCCGCCGCGGGTTGAGAGCACCGCGGGCGCCTGGGGCGGGGGGGTCGCAAGAGGCCCTCGTGGCCGCCCACCGCGAGGGCTGTCGTTTCGGCCAGGTGCACCCCGGGCGTCGGCCGCGCAGCCTCTCCGAGCCTGCGGCGGCCCCCGCAGGCACCTCGGAGAGCGGAGGTCGGCCCGGCACACGGCGCAGGCGTGTGTCGGGCGGGGTGTGGTCACCGAGCTCTGCTGGCGCGGAGCCGTGGCGGCGCGCCGGGAGATGATGCGGTGGAGGTGGCAGCGCGGGCGACGGCGGAGTGGTCAGTTTGGTGGGGGAACGGTTTTCACAAGGCTTGTCGAGGGAGGGAAGAAGAGAGGTAGGGAAGACCAGGGGTTGGAAAGGACACGGGAGAGGGACAGAGCCAGTGACATGGCAGAGCAGCGGGACAGGGCAAGGGAGAGAGGGAGGCCTGGTGGGCCCTTGGCCCCGATAGGACCATGACAGCCGCGCGGCCCAGCGCTGGCTGGCGCGGGTGCAGCGGGGCCTGAGGAAGCGCGGCAGGTTGCAGAAGGCCGGGAACGACGCCATGGAGTGGTACGAGGACGTTTCCTCCCAAGACCTCCTGAGTCGCTGGAGCCACGACGACGAGGTTGTCCTGAGTTTGGACCTGTGGAGGCCAGGTTCGGGCCACGGGGCTGTCCAAAAGCATCCCGAGACAAAGAACAGCCCCAGGGATGCGGTCGAGATCAAGGGGCGCCCCACCCATCAAAACAAAACGACGTCGGAGGTTTGGGTAATTACTCGCTGGTCGTTGAAAGTAGGCAGTTTTGGCCTTCCAGATCCCAATCTACTTTCAGTGCCTTACTATTTAAATGATCGAGTGGCTGCACCTTTTGCGTTCTCCTTATGGGGCGGACGGAACCCAATCTTTTTTCAGCGCCTTCCTACGTCATGCTTCAACCTACTTCTTCCTACCGATGGGTATGTCTTTTTCGCGCCCACGTCTCCTCTGTCCTCCGATGTGTCGCTCCTTGGGCCACTGCCACTCGTCAGGCGCTTGCGTGCTTGCCGCCGTGTCCGGGCGTCCGTCCCGTGTGCAGGCCTGGTATTGTTTTGTACTGTATGGATTGTGCGCGTGCGTTGATTATGTCTGCACCCAGCTGGCAGCGGCAAGGCCCGCCACCGTGCCGCAGTTTGGGCCGCAAAGTTTGTGATAGCAGTGATGAAGGTGGTGCAGATGCCGATGGTGTCGGTGACGATTCTGCGGGTCGTAGAGGTGGTCATGATGGGTACGATTGGTGATGATGATGAGTACGGTGATGAGAACGACGACGATGCCAATGACGATGACGATGCTGATGGCGATGCCGACGATGATGATGAGGATGATGATGATGATGGTGGTGATGCTGATTAGGATGATGATTAGTATGATGCGGTTGTTGATGGCGGTGATGATGGTGGTGATGAAGTTGCTAATCCGGATGATGAACATGACGATGGTGGTGATGATGATGTTGGTGGTATTGACGATGACGATGCTGATGATGGCGGTAATGACAACGCCGACGACGATGATGTTGACGATGATGATGGTACTGACGATGGTGATGGTGATGACGATGACGATGATGATGATGTTGACACGAATGCTTATGCTTATGTTGGTGATGATGATGCTAATGCTGATTTGTATGCTGATGGTGATGATGCTCAGACGATGGTGATGATGATGACGATGATGATGGTGATGATGATGATGATGATGATGATGATGGCAGTGGTGGTGATAATGATAGTGATGCCGATGATGATGGCGATGATAAAGAGGAGGAGCTGGAGGAATAAGAGTAGGGGCGGAGCAGGAGGAGAAGCATAAGGAAGAGGGTGGCGACACGTGTGACACGTTGTTGTGTCATGTCTCTTGTGCCCCGCTTTATGAGGTCGTTTGTGTCATCTTGGGGCTGTCTTGGCCTCCTGCGAGAAAGTCGGGTGCGCCTCGGGGGTTCTTTCGGGTAGTCTAGGGGCCCTCTTAGGCAGTCGTGGCCCTCTTGTGTCGGCTTGGGGCCCTCTTGGCCGTATGCAGGGTGTCTGGGGGCCATCGTGGGACCGCACAGAGGCATTCTTGGGCCGTCTTGAGGTTGTCCTGGAGGCCTTTTGGACCATCATGGTGCCCTCTTTTGTCGTCTTGGGAGCCTCTTGGGCGCTTCTTGGGCCGTGTTAGGGCCATATTGGAGGCTTGTTGGGCCGTCGTGAGTTGACGGACGCCCGAAAAGATGAGAACGCGACATGCTTCGAAATCTGCAGGAACTCAATGATGCTCGCTTGTTCGGGTAGGCATCTTTGGCAATCGTGGGGCCACCGTGGGCTTTTTGGGGCCACCTTGGACCGCCTTGGATGCGTCTTAGACCACCTTGACAGCAGCAGCAGTCTGCAGCTAGGGGGGGCCTTTACAATACCTAGCAGCCCGCACCTGCGGAAAAGCGCGAGGGGGAGGCGGCGCGGGCGAACCACCCGCAAGCGTAACCCAGTGTTGAACCCATGTTTGGCCCCAAAGTGTAGCCTCCTGAGGCTGGGCCCTCCATCCAGCTGCGCGCGCGCTGAGAGAAAGTAGGACCCATCGCCCCCCCCCCCATTATAAGTTCATAAACCCTACCAGGCAGCCCTTGGCGTTCTAGCACGCTTCAACATGCCAGTGGTCATGGCGGCTGTTTTTGTGCATTGGAATTGATGGCACCATTGATGTAGTGTATGGCTCTTGTCGCTGAGCTCATCTCCCGTACCGCTACGCAGCACTTCCTTCGGTAATGTTGTTCATGTGCTGCGTGATGGCAGCGTGCTCATGTATCAGCATTGGGAAGGCTAGAGTCGCACAGCTCAGCTTAGCGTCGTCATGACTCTTCCGCATGGCCATATGTGCATAGTTGGCCCGACCTTGTGCAAATTGCACGATGCCTTATTCTTAAGCAGCAGCTTGTGCATCCAATTTGTCTCTGTGCGTTCACGTTCGCTTCGGCGACAGCTCCAATTTTCGAGTTAAGCTTTCAATGCGCTTTCTGTTTAGCTCTGCCATTCGATGCTGCTCCGTCGCCTGCTCTGTGTGCTTGATGGTGTCCCTGATTCAGTTTTAACTACATGTAACATCTGCCTCACACGAGACCCAGCAATACATGCAATCACGTATGTAGTTGCCGCTTTCGCCTGAGCTGAATCTAGTGGCCTTCGGCCCATGCCGGCGCCATGCCTTAATTCTAGGTCATAGGGCTCCTGGATGCGTGTGGGGATCTCTGGGAGGCCTCTCGGAAGCCTCTTGGGGTGGTGGTGGAAGGTCTTTGGGCTTCGGGGCCTCTTGATGTCTTCTCGGTGCCGAGTTGGGCCTCTTGGGGGCCTCCTGGAGCTCCTGTGGGGGTGTTCTTGGGGGCCTGCTGGCGGTCTCGGAGATCGTCTTTCGGCGGAGGACTCGAGATGTCGGTCCTTTTTCCCTCTCAGAGGCCTCTCTGGGGCGCATCTCGTGGGCCTCCCGCGCCGTCTTGGGCCGACTTGGGGGCCTCGTGAAGAATGTAAACGAGGTTGAGAGCGATCATTCGGGTGGAGCATGATGTTGAGAACGATGAGGATGATGAGAACAGTGATCAGGTGGAGCACGAGGCTGAGAACGATGTGCTCAGGGAAGGCGAAGGAGGCGCGGGGGAGCGGGCAGCAGAGCAGAGGAGAGGGGAGGATGACGACCACGACGAGGATGCGGAACGGATCGGAGACGGGAGAGGGGGATGTGCATGCTCGGGCACGGGCGAGCCGGAAGGAGGAGAAAGAGGGAAGCGAGACGTAGGAGAAGGAGGAGAAGAGGGAGAAAGGAGGAGAAAGGAGGAGAGTGGAGGAGGAGCAAGAGAGGAGAAGAGGGAAGGAGGAGAAGGAGGAGAAAGAGGGAAGTGGATGAAGGGGGCGTAGGGTCGGCGACGGGCCCCGTGTCCTTGGGAAAAATCGCGGACTTCCGCCCGCCGAACGAGGCGGCAGCGGCCGCACTTTGAGGAGGGCACCTCCCCCGATCCATGGATGTGACGACCGCGCGGTCCAAATCCATGGATCGCTAATCCGTGCTTGCACGCCCTCGATGTGTTGTGTCGATGCGGTGGAGGATCGGGGCCCAGGTGCTGCAGACAACCTCACTCCAGGGCACAGGGTTGCCAGCCAGATACTCCCACCCCCTATCTTGAAAGTAGCAGTCATAGCTCTCCAGCCAGATGCCCTCAACCCTTCGTCCTGAAGCTGCCAGCCAGAAATCAGTGCGGCGGTCGGCAACCAGCGAGGATGCAGCCAGGAGCCACGGGGCAGAAGTGCACGAGGCCTTCGTGCACGGCCTCGAGGCGCTGCACCAGGCGCCGCGCGCGCGGGGAGGCGAGCTTGATTCTCTTGTCGATGGCAGGCATTCTCTTCGGGCATCGGGGGAGGGGGGGGCGGGGGGCAGCTGGAGACCTTTGACGGGCCACGAGGTCGAACAGCATCTCGTCGTCGGACGTCGTGGGTGCCGTACGTGCAAATATCAGGTTGTTACATGTCTACGACGGCTTGGAACACAACACGCCCCTCCGCTCAATTGGACGCATGTATGCGACGGTTGCTGGATAGTCCACGCCAGGTTTTAGCTTTCTGATGTCCATAGACCACGCGGAGCATCCTAGACTGTTGGTGGAATGGCCGACTCCAGTGTTTCCACCTTCTTCGGAGTTCGAGAGACTCGGCCAGAGCCTTTCTCGCCGACAGGCGATGCTGCCATCCTCCATGTGAAACTGGCCCAGCAGAACAAAGAGGTGCTGCATGATTGTG